GAAGAAAAGATAATGTGTATTTGTTGTATTCGAATTTCAAAGTACAGGTCAATGGCTTTTTTCCTGGGAGATCCCTGCTAGTCTGAGGGTTTTGTCCTGTGCTCCCAGCCCTGGAGCAACTAGGGCTTGACCCCCAACACACACCCACCAGGGAAATGGAAAATGAATGCCTCAGCCTTCTAATGCCCACGCAGAGACGAGCACGGCAGACCTCTTGGTGGTCCAGCCACGTGCCGGGGACCACACTTTGGTGGGCATGGACCATGCGCCTGAGGGTGGTCCCGAGGGGCTCCCTCCGGGTGCGTCAGAGGCTGCGCCCCTGGTTTGTGTCCTGACACTCGCACAGCGATAAAATCGCTTGGGATGCATTTCTCTGGACGTCTCCCTGTCGCGACACGTGACTATTTCTAGATGTTTCCAAAAACATCCAAAGTAGAGACACCCCGAACACTGACAACAACGCAGCGGGCCCGAGACCCCTCTGGCCTGCTCTCTCTGGGGCTGGCCTTGCAGGGGGTGTCGTGTCCGGTGCGCCCCTTCCCCGGGTGCGGCTCGTTAATTCCGATGTTTTCACCTTATGGATTTTCCTGGGACACGAGGCTTCTTACCATAACCACGCGCTCTCACTTCCCTGCTGGCAGCTGCTGCAATCTTTTAGGGAAGAGCGGACCCCGCGTTCAGGTTTCCTCCCCAAAGCTGGATCCGCTCGGCGGGACCGGCCGACTGCAACGGGCCTAAATGAACTGTGCGGTGATTCATCGCGGCTCGCTGGTGATTAACAGCAAGGACTGGTTTCCAGTTTCTCCAGTCTGGTTTCTGCCCCACAGGGCTTGGTTTGCGCATCTCCCTGGCCCTCTCCCGTCTCAGAGGCCAGAAAGCACACCACTCCCCGCCAGGGGGGCAAGCTCCCTCCTGCCCCAGGACGGCTCCCTGGGGCTGATTCAGAGCCTGCTGCCCCTCGCCAGCTGCCTCTGGACGTCCCGCCCTGCTTGCCTTCTGAGTCTGATGGAGAAGCGGGCACAGCCAGGAGCGGGCCTTGGAGAGGCCCCTACTTGGAGAAGTGCCCAGGGCGTGGCTCCCTTTCCCCAGAGGAGGGCACCGTCCCTGACCGGCCACGGGCGGCCCAGGGCACAGTGGGTGCGCAGCAGGGACCGGCTCCTGCTCTTTCCTCTTCCCGCCTGTGTTATTTGCCAAAGTCCTGACTTCTCACCTGAGGCCTCACTCTGCCCTTTGCTCCTGTGCATTTGCTTTTACTTGGAGGCCCCTCCTGCCTCCTCCCGCCCTCTCACCGTCCTCCCCAGCTCCCTCCTCCCTCTTCTCTCGCCACCCTTATGGCGTATGCCCCTTGCGCCCCAGAAGGTCCCCTTCCAGGTACCCGCACCTTCTTCAGTACCCGCACCCACCTCTGTCCCTTCTCAGAGGTCTTTTGAGGTTGGATTGAACTGTGGGTTCCCACCCCCTCCCCCAATTTATCACTTTCCTTGCTCCGTTTTCACTGCTCCAGAACCTACAGCTTCTTTGAACCTAAACTTTTTCAACTGTTTGAAAACATGTCCCTGAAGCTGGGAGCCCTGCCTGACAACGCCTACCTCTCTCTCCTCTGTGAGCACAAACCCGCAGGAATCGGCACGTGTGCGGGGAGACCCCGCGGTCAGATCCCTTTACCGGAGCTCAGACATCCAAGTCAAGTCGTCCCTGGGGCAAAGCCGGTCCTCCCCCTGGGGGGCCGTCAGCACAGGCTGGGGCCCAGCCCTGGGGACTTGGTGCCCTGACGTGAAGGGGCCTGAAGACGGGGGGCTCAGGCTAGATGGAAACCGCGTCCTCCTGCTGCTTGCGGTGTCATTTCCTGCCCCTCCGTCCACTCAAGGAGCGGGTGTTAAGGGAGAACGAGGTGGCCAGCAGGGCACAGCTGGGTGGACAAGGGCCTCCTTGGAAGCCGGTGCCAAGATAGGGGCGCCAGGTCGGAGGACAAACGCCACCCTGGCCTGTGGGCGATACCCCGAGCCCCACTTGGGGGGCCCAGGGTTGGGTCATCGAGAGTGGAAATCTCTGGAAAAACCCTAATAGACCCCATTGGAACATTCTAAGAAAATGACCTGTCCCTCGAACCAGGGTGAATCAGCCGGGGGAAGGTTTGCGGCAGTCCGTCCTGTCCCCCGGTCACCCGTCGGTTCCCCCGTGATGCTCAGCCACCCTCTGGGGCAGCGGGGAGGAGAGTGACGCCCCGATCCGGAATTTCAGTGAGACACACGCAAATGGCCAGCGGAGGAAGTCCTGAGCCCGGGGGTGAGGGCAGCTCCCTGTTACAACCCGCAAAGCAGAAGTGAGACTGGTCGGATTTCCCAGATCCCCCCCCCTTCCCCTCCGCACCCCGCCCCGCCCCCGCGTCCCCTGGGGGGCTGCTCCTGTCCTCTCAGAAATGAGGCCTTTGACTTTCACCCAATTACCCAAGTGAGGGAAACATCCATCTTTGTAGGAAACCAGACTTGTCAGGCCCCTTTCAGCCTGAGAATCGAGGCACAGATTGGGGGGCACCCTGTGGGCAGGCGAGAGCACCTTCCATTCATCGCCCATTGATTACCCGCCCGCCTGGAGACCCGAGGCCCGGCCTCTGCCTCTCCCGGGCGGCAAGTAAACTCGTGACTGACAAGTGATCGAGCCTGTCACTACCCACCCACCAGGGCGTGCTGACCCAGGCTCCCCGCGCAGGCCCCAACCCGCCCTGGAAAATGGAAGCCCTGGGAGAAAGTGTGTCCTGACCGCCCTGGGCCTGCCAAACCACACGTGCTCCTCTCCTCTCCCAAACCCTCCCCCCTCCCCTCCCCCCTCCCCCTCCCTTCCCTCTCAGCCTCCCCCCTCCCTCCCCCCTTCTCCCCTCTCCCTGTCTTCCAGGCTCCTCCTACCCGATTCCCATCCCCGGTCTTGGTGACTCCTGTCTCACCTTTTACACATCTCCTCTGAGCCAACCTGACCGCCCCAAGGGGTAAACAAAACTGGGTCTTGTCAATGAAAAGATGGGGAGCCAGCTGCAGACTCTGCTTTTTCTGGGGAGCGAGCTGAGAGGAGCTGGGCGGCTGCCCGTCCCTTCTCTTCACCTGTGACTTCGCGCTGACGTCCTTGAGGGCAGGCGACATTTGAGCCGCACTTGCTCCACGCCTCCCGGGCATCAGTGTGATGGTTTGAAAGAAAAAGAAGGGAAGGTGGCTGGTAGGAATTGGGGGGTGGGGCATGTGGGGCAAAGAGGGGAGGGTCTGGAGGACCCCCTTGAGGTCCTTGAGCGGCGGAAGTGGAGGGAAGGGGCGCTCTTCGGGCCAGGGGCCCTGGACGTTGGTCTCGCCCTGCTAAGCAAGAGACTCTCTCCAAACCTCAGTCTCCTTTAAAATCGGGCTGGGCCGTGCTCTCTCCCTCCACCCTGCCTGCCAGGTGGGGCAGGCTGGGGACCCCCTGGGCCACATCTCAGCCCCCACCCCAGACCTGATGAATCAGAGCCGGAATTGTAACAAGAGCCAAGCGCTTGCGTGGACATTAAAGTTTGAGCAGCACTGGGCTGAGTGACAGGAGTGCTTTAGCTTCCTGGCCAGCAGTGGGCCTGGAGAAACGTCAGCTCCATCCTCTTCCTCCCCTGCGCCTTCTCAGACTCCCGGGACACCCTTGCTCTGGAGGGGGGGCCTGGTCTGGCAGCCGCTGCATTCTGGGGGCCTCCTTGTCTTTTGTGCCCTTCCGGTCACCGTGGGGGGGCAGCCTGCAAATCCTGGACCTGGTTCCCAGATGGAAGCGTGCGCCCCGAGGATTCCGGCCAGCGGCCCCTGGGTCACAGACCCAGTCAAGGGCACGAGGCTGCTTCTGCTGATACCCACAGCTGCAGCCAGCCAGCCCCGACACCATGGAGCAGTCACTTGCTCTGGGCGGAAGGGCCAGGGCTGCTGCAGCCGGCGGTCGGTCGTAACGCTGTGCAGGGCAGGATGCAAAAAGGCCCCATGGAGCTGGAGCCGAATCCTAAATGTGACAGTTTTACAACGTTGGGGGCACCGGTCCTGTGTCGGGCACTGGAGATTCAACCTTCAACCACAGGCCTTGGCGGCTGGGCTGGCAGGAGGCAGGGAGGCAGAGGGAAACGTGGGGCTCAGGCTGTGCCGCAGGCACAGGGGCTGGGAAGCCCACCCCGTCAGAGAAGTGGACAGAGGCCAGAGAGACCCACCACCCAGCTGCAAGTGGCGGGCGCTGGAGGTGGGACCATGGCGTGGTCTCCGGCTCCGCACACTGTCCCCCACCTGGCACCGGAGACCGCAGCTGCAGGGAAGGCCCTGGCCAAAGGGGAGGGCGCTGGGCGCCGCCTGGGCGGAAGGTGGGGCGGTGGGAAGGGAGGGGAGCCCTGCCCTAGCGTGCCCTCTGTCTGGGGCGCGCACCCTGCCGGGAAGCCCTGGGGCCGCAGCTGCTGGGCCGGCCTGGCCCAGAATAGCCTCCTTTCCGGGCAGGGCTGCCCCGGCCGGCCCGCAGCGCCAGCGCCTGAAATAGGGCTCGGCGGGGAGGCCGCGCGGGGCCTGGGCACGAGGGGCCGCCCAGCGCCAGGGGGAGCGCAGGGGCCTCAGCCGGCTGGGGAGGGGGGAAACTTGGAGCCAGGATCCGGTGGGGCAGGTTGGGGCCTGGAAGGGGGGCGCGCTGGGGGGCGGGGCGGGGTGGCACGGAGGGGGAGAGGCCCGGGGCGGGAGGGGAGCGGGTTGGGGATCCCGGCGGGGGCGGGCGGGGGGCGGGGCGCTGACCTCACCGCGGGCGAGGAAGCCCGAGGGGGCCTGATGGAAGGACTGAGGAATGCGCAGCTGGCGGCTGGGGCGTGTGCCGGTGTCCCTTCCCCTTCCCCGTTGCCAGGAGAGGGAGCAACAGCGCAGCGGTTGCCATGGGCACGGCCGGCTGGGGGACCAGGCCCGGCTGGTTCTCGGTTGGGGTCCCCTCTGCTGGCCTCCTGCCTCAGTAGAGGCAGAGGGGAAGTCGGGGGTGGCCTCCAGGGTCCCCGCCAGCCTCTACCTCTCTGGCTGTCAGCGGTGGGCGCTGCCTGGGGGCGGTGGTCCCGGGAGCCTGAGAGCGTCCACCCTCATGCAAGCAGGCGCTGGGAAGTGCCTGACCTCTGCCAGGCGCTGTCCTCCACACCGCCCAAGCTCCCCAACCGCGCCCAGCCTCAGTTTCCCCATCTGGTCACCAGGGATTAGCCGCGTCCTCCACAACAGGGTCTGTGAGGGAACGAGAGTGATTATGTAACGCGAGGGGCCATCTGTTCCCCCCCTCCCTCTCTCCCCCACCCGTCCCGGGGTCAGTGAGGCCTTCCCAGGTCGCTGTCCTGTCCCCAGGCCCGGAACCCTGCAGCCTCAGTGCCCTTGCCCGGGCGCTCTCCCCCTCCGGCTCCGTCCCCCCCGCCACGGGCTTACCTTGGCACCCCCTTCTGCAAGAGGATGGTCCAACTTGTTGTCGGAATCTGCAGGAATCCCAGGCTGAGGGCCAAGAATCCCGCGGAGGCCCAGCCTGGCCGCAGTGAGTCAGCCTGGTGTTAGCCGCCGCTCCAGCTGCCCAGGCCTGCTTGGGCCGAGTGGGCGGCTGCCAGCACCAGGCCTCTGGACACCGCTGGGGAGACCGGAGTGTCCTGGGAGTGAGGTGGAGCGCGACCACGCTCCCGGGGGGACGGGACACCCCATGCCGCCCTCCCCTCCTCTCTGGGCAGCGAGGCTGGGGGGCAGGGAACAGCGAACAGCAGTACCCCATGTGAGGAAGGGCGGGCCTGGCTTACTGTAACTGCCTGGCCGAGAGTCTGCTTGTCCTGTGGTTAGGCAGGCTGAGCAAAGAGGGGCCCTGGTTTAGGGGAGGGGAGGGGGCCCCTAGCCGGCCAGGTGGGGTTGCTCGAAGGCGTCTCCCCCAGGCGGGACAGGCCTCTGCTGAAACCCAGGCTGGTTGTAGCAAATCAAGCCTGTCCGTGGGCTCAGTCCCTTGTCAAGGGCATTGGGGCAGCCAGTGTTGAGTGACCACTCACTCCCTGCTAGGAAGAGTGTTTGCTCACTGAACTACCATGACCACCGAGGAAATGGGGTGACACTCCCCCAGTGGGGGGCAGAGTTAGAGACCCACGCAGGCCCCTTCTAACCTCAAAGAGTCGAAGGACCTGGGAGGAAAACCCGGGCAGGGTCCTCAGCCCCATGCCCCCTGGCCTCCTCCCGCGTGGGAATCGGGAGAGCTGGGGTGCAGCTGACCTGGGCCGGCCCCTCCCCAGCAGACTGTGCTCGGCACTCAGCTGACTTCCTGTCCCGGGAGCGGCTGCGGGTCTGCAGGAGCAGGGCGGCCCCTTCCTGTGGTTCAGGTAAGAGCTCACACGGGCCTTCTTGGGCTCCACCCTCTTGCCTCTCCTGGGCTCCATAAGGCAGACCTGGGTCCCCCGGGTCCCCCAGAGAGCCTGGCAGGGCCAGAGTCTGTCCAGAGGGCCCAGCTGCATGGGAGAGGAGGGGCGGAGGGAAGGGGCTGCAGGCCCTGGGGGAGGAGGACTTGGGAGGGCCTCAGAACTTCCCTTCTGTGCTGGGCTGGGGGTGGGGTGGGGCTGGAGGCTTTACCATCCCACACCTGTCTGCAAAGGGGCAAAGGGGGAGCTTCGGGGGGCCATGGAAGCTCCCCAGCCACCCTAGTCTGGATTCCGCGGGGACATCTTCAGGACAGAGGCTGCACGTACCCGTGTCCCTCACCTTCAGACACCGGGCTCTGAGAGGAGCTGGCTGTCGCTCGTGCCTGGCCTTCCTCGGTCAGGTTGCCAAGGACCTGTCCAGGCCAGCTGTGCAGCCCCTTCTCCCTCCCAGCATCAGTTTGCTAGAGGCTGCTGTCTCTTGGGAGGGGGTCATCAGAGGCTACCAGACTGAGGCTGTCCCCCAGGAAGCACCCCTGCAGCTGGATGAGGCAATGCCTGTGAAGGCCCGGGTCATGCCAGGCATCTGCAGACCATGCCTCCCCCCGGGCGGCTCTGCCCTGGCCCACGCAGCATATCTCAGCCTTGCCCTTGGCCAGGCCCTGAGTGCTTTCTCAGCTTCCCCTTTGTCGGGGGTCTAATGAGCAAAGGGGTCTCCCCCCACCCTCTGCCCAGAATCGAAGAAGCTGCATGTTTCAGCCTCTTCCTAGAAGATGCCAGGAAAAATGGTTTTAATAGATCCAGCAGGACCAGCCAGCGGCACTGGGCTGAAGTGTCCCCCACAAATTCACGTCCAGGTGAAACCTGGGAAAGTGGCCTCATGTGGGAGTAGGGTCTGTGCAGAGGTGGTCACGGTTGGTGAGGACACACCGAAGCAGAGCGCGTCCTGGGCCCCGTGGCCTATGTGCTAATAAGAGGCGAGAGCAGGCTGCAGGCCACACCAGGGAGAGGCCATGCCAAGACAGGACAGAGGCTGGAGCGACATGGCTCCAGCCCAGGACACTGAGGATGGCGTGCCCCCAACAAAAGCTGGGACAAGGCCAGGAAAGACCCCCCCCCCCCGTAGGTTTCAGGGGGCTAGGGGCCTGCTGACACCTTGGTTTTGGACTCTGGCCTCCAGAACTGTGAGAACATCAATGTCTGTTGTTTCAAACACCCGCCCTGGTTCTTTGTGACGGCCGCCCTGGGAAATTCCTGTAAGCCCAAATGTCAAGCAGAGGGCAGCTGAGGAAAACAAGAAGGAAATACACAGAAAGCAAGACTTGGAAGAGACTGAGGAGGCAGGAAGGAAGCTTCCTCCACGTCTTCCTCTCCCCTGGACGGGAGCCGCTGGATGAGTGACCGAGACTGGCCAGGCCATGCTCCTCCCAGCCAGAGCGTGTGAGGTTGGGTGTCCGGGGCACGGGGCAGGGAGACCCCGCTGATAATAATAAACCCTGACGTGTCTCAACCTCACACCCCATGAAGCAGGTTTTATTGAGGTCCCGCATGGAGATGAGGAACCCCGGGCAGGCCAGGAACAAAGCGCCAGAGGTCACCGGCCAGGCAGCAGTGACCTGGGACACACCCCAGATCCGCGTCCAGCGCCTGGGCTAGGCAGAAGCGGGCCACGGGCGAGCACGCCGCAGCCAGAGTGCTCTGCTCCTGGCTGGCTGTGTGACCTTGGGTCGGTCCCACAACACCCCTGATCTGCAGAAAATGTGGAGACAACAATAAGACCCAGCTCATGGGTCGCTGGGGACTGCGTGGGTGGACTCGCTTCGAGCGCTCGGCCCATGCTGGGCACAGCAGAAGCGCTTCAGCAAAAGTGTTTGTGAACAAACAAAACGAGTTGGGTGAGGGTTCTTTCCTCCAGGGTCGGGGCAAGGGGCTGGGGGTGCTTCTGGATGGTGAACGCAGCTATTCGTACTCCACAGACCAGGGAGACCGACGCAAGGACCTCCTCGTGCACCCCTCACGCACCCCGCACACCGGCCGGGGGTGGGGAGGGGGTCAGGGAGCAGAGCCTGGCCTTCACCCTGGGCAGGCGGGTCCAGCGAGCTGAGTCCTGCCTCCCTGGCCCAGAATGCCTGTTGGGCCCGGTCCCGTCAGCGTCCCCCTCCTGGAGGGACGCCAGCCCCCCGTCATCACTGGCACCCTCAATCCTGCTCCGTCTCCCGGTGAGAAGTGTGGCCCACAAACGGAATCCACGTGGGGTGACTCACTGTCACACATCCCCCCACAGAAAGCTGGTCCCCCGTGACCCGCTGGGACGCCTGCGCAGAGCTCCGAACATGCTGCGCAGCAGGTGCCTGCAGCCCCATACACCCCCCCCCAAGCCTCCAGGAAGCCCCGCGGTCGTCTCTGCACCTGTCCCCTCTTTCTGTCAGGCCTGCCACCACCATCCCACCGGGCGGGCATCCGGGTCCTGGACTGCCTCCTCTCTGGAGTCTCCCCTGGCAGCTGCAGGGCCCGCCCGAGTGCCCCAGGGGCCAGATACTCGCTGGGGTCAAGCGCCCCCCCTCCCCCCGCGGGGCTGACCAGCTCGGTCTCCATCCTGGTGCGGGCCCAAAGACTCTTGCTGCAGCTGGGCCCCTTGGCTGACCTTCTCAGTGACTTCTCTCAGACTGGAGAGGCCTGGCGGCGTGCCTGCCGAGGGCCAGGCTGCTCTCCGGGGCTCCTCCCCTCCATCCAGCGTTGCGGCCAGACTCTGGTCAGGGTCCTCGCTGAGTTTGCAGCCAAATCCCAGCGTGCCGGCCTGAGGAGTTCCACGGGGAAGCCCCAAGGTGCGGGGAATGGTCCACAGCTGCTGACTGTCCCCACTGGACAGTGCTGGCTGGTCTCTGAATATCCTGTGGGTGGCCTTCCTGCCAGACCCCTTGCCTAGTTCACCAGGCGCCAAGGGGCATGAGAAGCAGCCAGGAGCCTCCCCCCGGTGCTGGCTCCCCTCCAGCCTCCTCTTCCTTGACTTCTGCAACAGAAGGAGACAGAAGCCACCTCAGCCACCCCTGGCTCCCACAGAGCATAGTTCGGAGCAATGTCAGGGTTCTTCGAGGCCTCGAGCCAAAACCTGCACATCTGGTGGACCCGAGTCTCCTGGACCTTCCATGGAAACTCCATCCATGGAGAGCGCCAGCCTGGACATCTGGGGCTGCCGGCCACTGAGAGACACAAGGACCCTGGCACTCCCTGCAACTGCCCAAGGGCTAGGTGGATGGCATGGCATGGCCCCCCAGGACAGTCCCCTGGGCTGACTGAGCTGGCCTCTGGTGGGAGCCAGGTGTGGACCTAGCACCATCGGGGTCCCCTGGAGACAGCACAGGAGCTGCCGAGTGGAGGTCCTGGTGGGGGCGCTGCATGCCTTGGGGGGGCGCCAGTGGAAGGGGGTCTGGGCTTGAAGTCAGCCGGCCAGGGCTCTAATTCCGCTGCCACCACTGAGGTCTGTGTGACTTCGGTCGTGCCTAAGCCCCTTCTCTGAGTTTGGCACCGTTGCATTTTCCAGGAGAGCACCTCAGGTATAGAAAGGGAAAGAGAGGAGCCAGCGTGGGCACAGGCGGACCGAGCGCTGCACCTTACCAATGCAGAAATGGTAACGAGCGCCACAATTTTATTTCAAAACCATTCCTGGTTAGGCTACTTTTGGCTTTCACGTCGCGTTCTCCTTCCACACTGTAAGCCCTTGAAGACCCAGCGTTTTTGCTTGGCACTGATCCCAGCCCGGGTCACCATGCCAGGGTGGGGGTCCCCGCCTGCATGGGGGTTCCCTGGGGCGCTGGCCAGGCAGGCACTGGTCACTGCGGCCCCATCACACAATTCGTGGGCACCATCCCTAAGATCACACCATGCACGTGCCCTGCAGCTGTCTGCCTAGTGGGTTTCCTCCTCACGCCCATCGAGCCCGGCCTGGGGTGGGTTCCCACCACGGCGGTGAAGCCCATGGGGCAATCAAGTGAGCCACATGATGAACACCAGGGCTCCCCAGGACACGCAACGTTATGTTTACACCATGCTGTGGCCACTCGGTGTACAACAATTTCATGCCTGAAAACACACCCAGTGCCTTAATTAAAGACGACCCAGGGACAGGCAGCCAGCACGTGCTCTTGGGAAAATGGCCGAGCGGGCTTGCACAGGGCAGGGCTTCCACTCATGAAAAACCCAACGTCTGCAGGGCACAAAAGAGGCAGGTGCGAGCCAGGTAGGCCCGTGCCTCCGACATCCTGTGCATCACAGACACCAGCAGCATTTTCTGTACGCAAAGACTCGAGATTTGGGGGCGGGGAGGTGAAAGAGCGGAAACCCATTTTCTCCTGTTGTCGGTGACCTTGTGTCTGTGTCTGAGCTCGGCCCTTTCCAGCCGGGCCTGCCAGCTGCTGCGGGAGGTGGCGGGGATGGGCGGAGGGCATGGCTGCAGTTTTAGCATTTGGAGCCCTGGCTCCTTTTCAGCAGAGAGCAGGGGCCTCTGGTTCTCTCTGCAGCCCAACCTTCCAGGCTCTGCTGTTGCTTAAGGCTGTGCTGCAATCCCGAGCGCTCGGGAGTGGGAAGTCCAGAGTTCTCCCCGTTTCTGGGAACAGCCCCCCTCCCCCTCCCTGCACCAGCCTCCTCATGACAGCGGATCAGGCTCACCCGAGGATTTCACAAAAGCCTGGCCTGTTCCCAGCACAGCACAGCTGGGAGGGCTCAGTCCTGGGGGGGAAGGAGCCTCGTCTTCGTCCTCTCAGGGCCGACACTGTCCTCTGCCCGGGGCCCGGGGCTGGAGCCCAGGCGAGGGAGGGCTGCGCTTGTCTGAGCTTGCCGAAGCAGGCGGCAAACCCCGGCAAACCCGGGCCTTCCCTCCCTGCTGATTTCCCAGCTCTGGCTTAGTCAAGTTCAAGGAGGAAATTCCCTGTCCCAGGAGGAGAGAGGATGCAGGCTCATCTCCCCCAAAGTTGGGGCACAGGTCTCAGGGCCACCTGGGAGGTGTTGTTTACTCAGATTCCCGCCTGTCCTCAGGGCTTCCCATTCAGAACAGCTGGGATTGGGATCCCGGAATCGTGATTTTACCCGCTCCCTGGAGGTCTGCTCTGGGTGGTTCTTCCAGGGGCTTCAGGGCTGCGGGGTTCTGGGTGGTGAAAAGACTGGATGCAGTCTGGACTCAGTCAGGACCTCCAAAGTGCGCCCCCACCCCTGTCACTAGCGCCAAGACCCTGGAAGGCTGCCCTCGGGTTTCAGGCCTCAGTTTCTCCATCTCTGAAATGGGTGTGTCCTGACCTGAGGTAGTGACCAAGGTTCTGGTTCCCTGGACTTTAGGGCTCAACCCTGCAGCAGCGCCGGGCAACCCAGGACAAGCTGGGCGCTCTGCTGCGGGTCAGAGGATGGTGGATGTGACACGGGACAGAAGTGGCCCCGGAAGAGGCGTCTTTGGGGCACAGGTGCTCTCTGTGTTTACTCTGGGTCATGCCTGCAGTTTTCGCCTACGGCCCTGCTCAGGAGCAGGCAGGATGGGGGGCTGCTCTCGGCGGGCACAGGCCCCCTGACAGTGAGCGCTGTGCAGTAGGTGCCTGCTGAGCGGATGGGGGGCGGCGCGCGGGCAGGAGGCGGGTGCTGCAGGGTCCGGGGCCAGGATCCCTGGATAGAGAGCGCGTGCCGGGGCGCGGCGGGGGCTCCGCCGCCTGGGGGGGGGGATCTCCGCTCCCCCGGGACGTGCAAACTTGATCCACTTGTGGCCTGGAAATTCAGGGCTTTCTAAGCAGCGTGCTCTCGGAGGGGCCAGGGACCCCCGGGGACCACGGCGCCCCCTCCCGCGCCCTCCCCCAGGAGCGCCGGGCGGGCTGGTCCCCCGCCCTCCCTCCGCCCCCCGCCCCAGGGAGGTGAGCCTGGCAGCCTCCCGGCCGAATTTCCTGGCACTCGGCTGAGAATAAACAGCTCTCTGCGCCTGTCATCCCGTTGCCATGGCGACCTGCTCCGCGGGCGGCGGGGCGGGGCGGGGGCGGGGCGGGGCGTGGCCGTGGCCGTGGCCCCGCGCGCTCGGCTGGCGGCGGCGCGGCCCGGGAGGTGCCACCCGCGGCCGGGCGCAGACATTCCTCGCATAGCTGGGCCGGGGCTCCGCGGGGCCGGGAAGTGGCTCTTCCTGGCAGGGGGCGGCCTCGAGCGACGCGCCCCGATGGGAGGGGGCGGACCCCGACTCCGGGTGGCCCCCGGGCACGTGCGCGCTGCACCCCGCACGCAGACACCGCTCTGCTCCTCGCCCTCCCGCGGCCCCGCGGGGTGCCCCCCCCAAGCCACCTCACTCCTTCCTTGAAGTGGGGCTCCCCGTGTGGGCTCATTTCCACCCCATCCCTCCGCGCCCTGCCTCCCCGCACCCCCCCCCCAAGCAGGCCTTAGGTTTCCCGGCTCCTGAGGCACCACCTGAGATGACCGGCCCCTTGGGGTGGACTCTTGCCGCTAGAGGCAGGATAGGCAGGGCCCGGGACCCCAGCTGTGTTCCTCAGCCCCGTGGAGGCGCCTGCCTGCTCTGGCCCCAGGAAACTGTCCCCCAGTCCTGCAGGACCCCACCAGCAAATCTTGGACACGGGCACACACACCCCTGCCCTGCAGACCAGGACAGAGGAGGCCCCCCTAAGTGCTCTGGAAGAGGGGTGTCTTTCCTTGAAAGGATCAAGTACAGAAAGGCTTGGGTATGGAGGGTATGGGGGGCCTCTGGGAGGGGGTGCTGAGAGGAGAAAGGAAGGAGCACCGGGCGGCAGAACAGTCGGGGACTTTCTCGCCCGCCGATGCCCAGGGCTGGCTAGCTGCGCAGTGCTGGGTAAGCTGCTTTACGTACGTCTCTGGGACTCAGTTTCCTCGTCTGCAAAATCAGAGGTTTGGCCCAGTCCATGGAAATGCAGAGACAGAAAAAGGTGTGGGAAGGAGGCTGCAGTGGGCAGCAGGGGAGCCAGGGGTCTTCCTGCTGGTGTGGGCACCCTTGGGGGACGGGGAGGGCAGTGTCCCCCCGGCCAGCGCCCCGAGAAGCCAAACCCCAGGAACACTGACACCATGGCTGAACAGCAGGCGGGACTTGGCCAGGCCAGGCCCCAAGGTTAAGTCAAGGCTGCTGCAGCAGCTGTGGCTCCTGAGAGGCAGCCCTGCAGCCCTGGGGTGGGGAGGGGCTGCCGAGCCTGCCAGGCTGTCACCCTGGGGGAGTCACTGGGGAGCCAGGCCCCGCCCAGCCCCCCAGCTAACCCCGTGTTCCTCAAAGGGCTGAGTGGAGTGTGCATCCCCTGGCATGCTCCCCGATGCCCTGGCCACGCACGTGCGGCCGCTTCTCTCCATTTTAGGTTCCTTCCCCCAGGAGTCCGGGAAATAGGAAATTAAAACTATTTACTCTCTGCTGCCTGGAGTTGGGGGGCCTGGGGGGCTAGGGTCTGAGGCTGTGGGGAAGAAAGGCAAGAGGGAGCATGGGAGGAAAATGCCACCGAGCAGGTCTTTTTAGTTTGTTTTAGGAGGACCCCAGTGCTGAAGCCCCCCCCCCGCCCCCGCGTAGTTCATGGGGGGCAATAACTTGGCTTTGCTGGGGGCCCCCACGGAAGACCAACCCCAGGGGCATCCCCAGCTGTGCTCCTGGTTCCCACCCTCTTTCCCACATTCCCAAGTGGCGTGGCCTTGGGGCCGGTTGCTCCACCTCCATGACCTGAGAGGCCCCCCTCGGTCTCAATCAAATATTTACCAAGCACGTTCTAGGCTGCAGAGGCCAACCCGCTGGTGAGCGGCCACGGCGGGGCTGACACGAGGGGCTGACACCTGCCCCCGGCGAGGGTGGGGTGGGAAAAGGGCGCAGGCACCTCCAAGTGTGGGGCGTGAGGGTGGCTAAAAATAGACCGTGCTGGGCGCTCTTTGTGGGGACTCAGCTGTCAGCTGCCCGGCCCGGGGCTCCTAGGGATGGGGCGAAGCGGAGGTGTGGGAGCAAACGGTGCCAGGGGACTGCCTGCGTGTGTCCCCGGGGCCGCCCCTCCCCCGCCACCCTGAACCCGGCTGTGCCGAGGTCACGGGTCACCACCAGGACCCTGAAGTGGGGCTTTCTCGGAACACCTCCCTGCCAGGAGCAGAGCGTGCCCGCCCGTAATAGCTCGGAGCCTCTAAAAGCTTTGACCACAGCTCCCCGCTCCCTGCAAGCCCTTTGAAGGCTTCCTTCGAACTTGCTTTGCATATTCTGGTCAGATCTGAATCAGACTGGCAGGAATTACCCCTCTCCGTGCAGTCTCGGTGGCTGCCCGGCGCGTCAGTGCCAGCGCCGTGACGCCGGGGGGCGCGGGCGCCTGGGGCAGGGCTGCCCCCCTGCCTCCCTCCTGGGTGCGCCGCGTGGGCGGCGGTGAAAGAGAAAGCAAGAGGGGAAGGGAGGGGATCAAGGCTCGAGTCATGTTTTTCATTAAAAAATAGTGCTCTTTTATTATAAATTACTGAAATGTTCCTTTTCTGAATATAAATATAAATATGTGCAAAGTTTGACTTGGATTGGTTTTTCCTTGAGTTCTTCAAGCATCTCCTAACAGCCTCGAAGGCCCGGGTGGGGGAGGGAGGGCTGGAGGTGGGATCTTTATAAAAGACAGAGTGATTGAGGCAGATTGTAAACATTATTAAAAAACAAACCAAAAAAATAAAAAAACAGAAAAAAAAAAAAAACCACCCCAACACACAGCTGCCCCGTCCAGCCCAATACCTGACACAGAAAACTTTGTGTTGGTTTAGTTTTCCCCAAAAAAGAACAGTTCCAGGTAATTCCATTGCTGCTACATTCCTGTGAGTTCTCACTGATGGTGGCAGAGTGGGAGCAGCTGGGGGGGGCAGGGCCCCGGCCTCTGGGTGACTTCCTGGCTGCACCCCCAAACCCCCAGCTGACGTGGGAGGGCCCTGCAAGGCCTGGGGAGGGGGCACTGGGGCCTGGGTGCTCTGCTCTGGCCAAAGTCCAGGCCCCGAGAGGCACCTGTGACAGCCCACGGCCACCAGGCCTGCTCGCCCCGGACTGGAAGGCCTGGGCCTCCGCCCCCCACCCACGCCGGGTGAGTGGCTGGCCGTGGGCCCTCCCAGAACCCCTCGGCTCTGGCCCGGATTGGCTGAGTGTGTGGCTTCTCGTGTGCCAGGCCCTATCCATGGGACAGGGTACGTTTAAGGCAAATCTCCTCGCCAGACGTGGTCAGGAGGCACAAAGAAGAATCCCCCGTCTGCTCTGTGAGGACCCAGACCTGGGTCCAGGATGGCTGTCTCCTCCCCCCACTGCCCACACCCCCAGGCGGCGGGAGGTGTAACCAGGGGGAGAGAAAGAACAGGGGGCCTGCCTTATCACCCCCTTCCAAAATGCCACTTCCCCCTTAAAACGGGGGATGGGCCCTGGGCTCCCCGGCACCAAATGGACTCTGGGACCCCAAATTCCTGGTGGCCGTCCCAAAGGGGGGGGCTCGCCCCTCGTCCCTTCCAGCACCAGGGGAGGAGCAGGGAGCGGCCATCTCCCCGCAGCCCTGGGCCCCTGGGGGCTCCCTGGGGTCCACCCTTCCCCAGCCCCAGCTGCGTTTTAAACCAGATCAAAGAGCAAACAGGTTCGGCTGGGAAGTCGGAGATCCCCATCCCAGATCCCATCCCTGGCAGTTCTCCGTGTCCAGCACTCCCGCCCTGGCCCCGGCTGGGCGCAGGGGGGCGTCGAGGAAGCAGAGCGGAGAACCCGCCAGTCTTTGCTCGGTCCCCCGCGCGCGCGGGAGCGGGGGGGGGGGGGGGGGGCGGCTCCCGGGGCGCTCCGCCTTCCCCCAAACGCATTCCAGGTCCCCCGGCCCCATTCCGCGGGGGGCGCAGGGCCGGAGGGCGGCGCGTGTCCGCGGCTCCCCCGCTGCAGGGCTCTCCCCGCGGCTCTTGTGCTGCGCCTTGTGCCTCGAGGGCAGGAGAGCCGGGCCCTCCCCGCCCGGCCCGGCCCGGCCTCAGAGCGGGGCGTCGTACTGGTCCAGGAACTCCCGGATGGGCCCGGGCAGCTGCGTGACCTTCCCGTAGGAGTCCAGGTGGCCGTTGACCGTCTTCCGACAGAGATGCTGGAGGGTGGCCACGTTGGAGGAGAGCGGCCGGCTCAGGACCAGGGGGATCTTCTCGCCCCCCGAGTAGATGTAATAGGCCCTCCGGGGCGCGCCGCCCGGGGGCGGCTGCTCGGGCACCTCGGAGGCGGGTTCGGCGGGGGGCGCGGGGCAGGGGGGCGCGCCGGGGGGCGGCATGTAGTGATGCACCAGCTTGAGCACGCAGTCGAAGCGGGGCACGGGCTGCGTGCTCCGGGGGTCGCTCTGCAGCGAGAAGCTGCCGCCCTCGCACTGGATGCGCAGGTTCTTGGTCCCCGACTGGGTCTTGACGCTGAGCGTGAAGAAGTGGCGCTGGTCCGAGCTGTCGCGGATGAGGAAGGTGCCGGCCGGCTCGGCGCTGAGCAGCAGGTTGGCCTCGCCGCCGGTCACCGCGCTCCAGTAGAAGCCGCTCTCCTGCAGCTTGCGCACCGCGTTCACCACCAGCTGGTACTCGCTCTTGGAGCTGAAGGTCTTGAGGCGCAGGCTGGTGTCCAGAGGGCGGCTCATCCCGGCGGCGGGAAACTTGCTGTGGGTGACCATGGCGCACGGAGCCAGCGCGGGTCTGCGCGGCGGCGGCTGCAGCTGCTCGGCGGCCTCCGCTCGGCGGCCGCTACCGCATCCCGGGGGGCTGCGGAGAGGAAGGCGCGCGCCGCGTGAGTGCCCGGGGCCCTCCAGCGCGCCCGGCCCGCCCGGCCGTGCCCTCCGCCCCGAGGCCCGAGCCCCGGCGCGCGCCCCGACCCGACCCGAGCCCCCGGCGCGCCCGCGCGCCCTCGCCCCCGCCGGCGGTGGCCCCGGACGGCCCCGCTCCCGCGCGCCCGGGCGGCGCCGAGGGGGAAAGTCGGGCGCGGAAGTTGGGTCCCCCCGCGCGGCCGGGCCGGGGCGCGGGAGGAGGGACCCCGGACGCGCCGGGCGCCGCGCAGTCCGGCGGCCCCGAGCGCGGGGACAGAGAGCGAAACCCGAGGCGCGGGGCGGGGAGGGACGGGAGGGCCCCCGCCCGGGCATTCCGGGAACCCGGGATCTCGGCGCCCATCCGCTCCGCCCGGCCGCGTCCCTGCCCTGCCGGGAATGGCCCGGGAAGGGGAGGGGAAACCGGGAAGGGCTCCCGGGACCAGCGCCCCCCCGCGCTCGCCCCGCCTTCCTACCTGGTCCCCAGCCGGAGTCCCCGGCCTCGGGCTGCGCCGCCCACGGTGCCCGGGCCGGCGGCGGCCGCGCTGCGCGCCGGGGCGGGCGGCGGCGGGTCCACAAAGGGGCCTGGGCGGCCCCGCGGCGCGGGCTCGGCCGAGCGCGCCTGCCCTGCCCTGCGCGCCGGGTGCCCGGCGGGGCCGGGAGGCGGCGGGACGCGCCGGGGGAGCGCGGGCCGGAGTCGGGCGGGCGCGGGAGCCGGAGTCGGAGCCGCCGCGGAGGCCGGGCTCGCGGGTATATACGCGGCCGCCGCGCCCCGCGCCCCGCCCCCCTGTTCCTGGAACTGCGCGCCGGCCTTTCTTGTAATGTTTAGTCACGACTCGCCGGCGAGGGCCGCGCAGGCGGGAGGGGCGCGGGGCGGGCCGAGGGCCGGGCCGGCGGCCCCGCCGCGCGCGCAGACAAAGCGCGATCCGGGCGGCCCGGGCCGCGGCGGGCGCGGCGCCAGGCTCGGCGGCGCGTTCCTGGCAGCGGCCCCTCCCCCGGCGCTCCGCCCCCGGCTTCTCATTCACACTTTCCCCCGCCCTTCTAGGAAGGCGGCCGGCCGGCCGGGGCGGGGGCGCCCTCCCTCCCGGCGCGCGGCGCTTCCAGGAGGCCGCGCGGAGAGGCTCCCGGCGCCCCGGCCTGCTCGCGGGGACGCCCCCGGCACCCCCGGGCCGGCGGGAGGTGCGGGTCGCGGCCCCAGGAGGCCCGGGCCCGCGGGAGGGAGCTGGGGATACCCCAGGAGCCGGGCCCGAAAGCGGGGTCGGAGCCGGGGAGGGGAGGGAGGCGCGACCGTCCCCTGTGGGCGCGCTGGGGGCAAGCCGGGAGCCCCGGGGTGGCGGGCCTCAGCCCCCCGCCCGCCGCCGGGCTCTCTGCGGGCGCGGGGCCGCCCCCGCCTGCGGACACACAGCGCCCCGGCCCCGCGCCCCGGGCCCCCGCCGCGTGCGCCCGCGGTGCGCCCAGGTGCCCGGCCCGGAGACGCGCCCCGGGGCGCCGGCGGCTCCGCCCCGCGCCCGGCCCGCTAGAGGGCGCCCGGGGTGTCCGAGCGCCGGGACTCGAGCGGCTCCCCGGTCCCGGCGTGGGACCCCGAGGATTCGGGGGTGCCGGCCCGGGAGCCCGCGTTCAGGCTGGAGCTCGATCTGGCAACGGAAGCCCAGCAGGGAGGGCGCTCCGGAGAGCCGCGGTCGGCCGTCCAGCACCTCTCCGCATGGCCCAGCTCAGCCGGGAAGGGCTACCTTACACCTGAATGCGGGGGGCCGACCCCCCCTCTTGAGACAGCAGTTCATTGGGGTGAAGACTGGACTTTCGTGTAGCCACGTGGTGCGGCCTGCCAGGGCCGGCCCTAGGAGGGGTGGCAAGTTCTGCAAACTCTCCCCCAAGCTGGCAGGGAGGTCCCCGAGCCCCCAGGGAGCCTGCTGGCGCGCACAGGTCCCCACAGGGGCTGCACCCCGCAAACTCTGCTTCTGGTCAGCAGAGAGGGCCTGAGCCTCCCATCAGCCCTTGGCCCTCCCACTGCCACCGATGTCTCAAGGACTGAGGCGTGGGCAGGACACCCAAGCTCTCCGGGACTGGGTTGACCATCTGTAAGCCAGGACTAATGACCCTTCCCATCAGGGATCTGAGATTAAAAAAAAAAAAGATTCTGCTCGTAAAAGTGTGATGTAATTTGGGCCAATTCTCCCTTCGGATTCTACTAGGCAAGCAAGAGCAAGGAGGAAGCCTGCTAGTCACTCTGCAGAAGGGGAAATTGAGTTATTCAACACATTTCGCAAATGTTGGGCTCCACAGAGCCGGCCGTGTGCCGGGCGCCGACGCAGGGTGATGAGCACCCCCGGGCCTTGCGGCAAGATGCTCCCAGAGCAAGGACGCGGAGCCTCCTCTGGTGACCAGGAGCTCATGCTTCCCCTCGCCCATTGATTATTAGGAGAGTGCACCGCCACCGTGCGCGTCTGCGCTGAGCCCGAGGAGGACAAGGAAGACTCCCAAGGAATCGCCCTCGAGTTAATGGATGAGAAAGTGCTTTGTGAATTACAGTGCTCTGACACAGGGAGGCTCAGCCAGCCATTCCGCAGCCTCGCTGAGTGCCTGCTTCTGCCAGGCACTGGGCAAAGTGCTGGGAAGACACGAGTTGCCGGGAGAATCCTGAGGGAAGACAGGAGAGGCCAGAGACCTGGGGCGCCCCTCCCCACCCCCCCAGGGGATCAACTGGGTGGTCGTGACACCCATGTGAGCGCGGGCTCTGTGCCTGGCCGGCAGCAAAGGCTGCGTGGACAGCAGAAGCTTAGTGTGAGCCCAAGAGTGCACAGAGGGCGTGAAGAGCGGAGAAGAGGGCAGGGGCGCAGGGGCACCCTGAGAGCGGCCGCCCCTGCCGGGAAGGGGGCTGGGCTTCTGCATCTGGCCCAGGAGGCTGAGCTGCTGTCCGGACTCTACCACCCAGTAGCCCCGGGGCCTTGGGCACCTGACATCCCTAGCTGTGACCAGACCTCGTCTGGTCGTCGCGGGGAAGGGATGAGCAAATGCATGCACAATGCGTGGAATGGCGGCTTCTATGCTCAGTGCAGGTCAGCATTATTTTGGAAGCACTGGGGCGTCTTTGGGGAGAGAGAAGCCTGGAGAGCTGAGCTACTGCAGTTTGGGCTGCTGGGTGAGGACAGGGGCAGGAGGGGCTCTGTTCTGGAGAACGGTGTACCTGCTAGAGGAGACGCATTCCCAAAACTGCTCGTCCTCAAAAGGTGGCGAAGGCCGCTGACTTTCCCTTCAGCTTTCTACGATCTCCAGGGGGTTCCCATTGCCTTTGGGATGACTCAAACACCCCGTGTGTGTCTGAGACGCTGCTCCCTCTCAGCTTCATCAGCCGCCTCTGGGCCGCTGGCACCTTGTGCTTCAGCTCCAGGGAGCCCCAGGGTATCCAACAGCACCAACCCCCCCACCCCCTGCCCCATGTTTGCATAGTTGGTGAGTCCACCTTCCACATCTTGGGCTAATTTTGACTTTTCCTTAAAACGAGGCAAAGACTCAGTCTTAACTTCTCGGGCCGCTTTGCCCCGTTGACAACACGCTCTGTCCACGTGCCCAGTGAGAAACTTGCAGGAACTGTGTTGGATTCACTTGAAATGTGTTGCATGGAAAAGTGCTCAGTGGATTGTGTGCATCATTCTAGGCCCCCCCCTCCCCGCCCCAGGCTGTGTTCTTCTAGAGCTGCCTTGGTTTCTTCCTGCAGGGCTGGGGGGCCCGTTGAGAAGGGAGGACACGGAGCCCATGCAGGCCCTGGTGGACATCACTGGGCTTGCTGACAAAGGGAGGGAGGACTCAAACTTTGCTGGAAAAGCAGGGGAAGAGATGCCAGGCCAACACCGGGCACAATTCCAGAATGCCCACACCAGGGCAGACCTAAGGCACTGCCCTTCCTTACCTTCCCTCGCTGCTGGGGGCTCGAGGGGGGACGCATTCTCTAGGTCTGGCTCTTCTGTCCACCCTGCTGTCTTTCCGGTTAAGACTCTAGGAGATTCCCACTTTTTCCTAATCTCTCCCTTTGCAGAATTTCTATGAAGTCAGAATCCCATTTCCAGGCAAAGGTGCTTGGTCATAAAGATAATAAGATATTCATTCATGGCGGAGGGGAAGTCCGCAGTGGTTTCAGCTGCCTGTGGGCTCCACTTACTCATGGTTTGTGACAGATGACAAGTTCTTTTTCCCCAAAACCTCACAAATGGGAACCCTGGCGCCCGAGGGTGGTCGCGGGGTGCATGGCGCGGCTTGGGGAGCCCAGACCCCTGTGGCACAGACGGCCTCCTTGCCCGCTGGCTCCGGGGCGGGTGTTAAGGGCACCATTGTTCCGAGGCTGTGCTGGCAGCCACAAGGGCAAGGGGAGGGGTCTCAGCCCACAGAGTTGCTAAGCACCGGAGCCCAAGCTCCAGCCCCCCACCTTCCCGAGCGGTGGGCTTTCCGGGGCGCTGGGGGTCCCGCACGGCTTATCCCACCCACATTGCGCGTCTCCTCCCTGCCAGGGTGCAGAGGTGAGGTGGGAGGGGGCTTACTCCTTCCCTCCGCAGGGCCAGAGTCCTGGTGAGTGGTGACCCTCCCCGCCAAGCCCCTGTTCTGAGGATTCTGAGAAGATGCCAGGACCCGCCTCTCCGCTGACCTCTTGGGACCCCTGCCCCTGCTGCCCGGTGTGGCAGCCCAGACCAAAGTCACCTTAGTTCCTCTCAGCCAAGCCCCTGCCCACCCGAGCTGGTGGGGGTGCAGGGGTGAGGTGGGGGGGCCTTGCAGGAGGCAAGGCTGTGGCTGAGATGACCTTCCAGGAAAGGGGGAAAGGTACAGGGGCGCAAACCAGTGTGACCCAGAGCCCTGCTCTTTCCTGCAGCCGACAGTCCCAGGGGTGGGCCGGGGAGGCCGGGACAATGGCCTGTGGCCGGGAAGCAGCGGCATTCCAGCCTCGGCCTTTGTTCCTGCCGGGAGGGGCCCCAGCACTAATGAAAA